GGACGGGGCACAGGTCCAGGAAGGTTCCGCGAGCGCAAGGGGCCTGCCCCGGGCACACAACACCCGCAGGTCACTTCCAACAAACCCAAGAGAACCACAGGTGAAGGTGCTTGAGAGCGCAAAATATTTTATTCAACGATTTGCTGTGTAACAATTTGCATTTAGGAAAATAGCAGCTCCCGCCTGGAGGAAGCTTCTTGAATCAAAAGTCGTGGGCAGGCGACCCAAAACAGAGAGCAGGGCCGACCGAGGTCCCAGAACCACACGAGCCAACCAAGGGACACAGGGCTGCCCTGTCACAGGGACACGCCTTTCTCAAAGTGACAAGGACAATGGATCCAGTCTATGAAATATTCTAGAAAATGTCCTGGGGCCTTTCCTAGATGATCAAGTGAAACAGAAAACCGGGAAGGCTGTGCTCATTCCACATTCTACAATTTCTACACTTATTTTAAAATGCCAGACTGTCTTATGTTCCCCCAGCAGAATCTACAGAAATGATTACCTACTGATTTTTTATAAATATTCAAGTCTCTTCTTCAGTCTCTTTAGACTGACTTAACAAGAACACAAACAGTTTTTGGAACAGTCGATGAAGCCTTAAAGCTTTGCGGCCATGAAGGGAGGTGTTCCTCTGCAGGGGCGGGCAGCCACACCCCAGTACTGAAGACTCATGTGGAGAAATCCAGGGGCAGGGGTGATGGTTTCCAGAGCTGCTGGGATGAGTCTGTTCTAAGCCACCCTCTCCACGATGTCACCAAGCTATGGATGTGTCACCTGGGTGAGGAAAGCATGCCTACTGGGTTGCAGTATGAAAGCCCCCACAGGAAGGGCAGCGCTGTACACACAGTGGCGATCCAGTCTCTATGTCCAGCCAGATGGCTTCATGTGAAACAAAACTCACCTCACATTTCTTCTGGCCACAGCTCATCACTGCAGATCGGTGTGAACCATTGCATCAAGGAACCAGCTTGCTCCCTCCCAGTGCCCGTGCCACACCTGGAGGGTGGGCAGTGCCTGCTGCTTTGGGTGTGTGGAATCATCCATGATCTAATTAGGCCATAGAAGCGAGGAAAGCTGGAAATGTCTTTGCTACAGAAACAGGTAATGAGGGCCTCTTTCAAAACCCAACTGTGAGTGTTGCCAAACCAATGCATGGCTCCTCCAAGATGCTGGTGAGGGGCAGAGCTGCCCTGGCTGCAGGGCGGGTGACAAGGCTCCCTCGCACACCCTTCTTCCAGCACCCTAAGGACTATGGGAGTCCCTGGCAACAATTCCCAGCTGGGTTTTGAGAAGGTCCAGCTACCTCCCGACCATCGCTGCTCTCCTGTGGCAAAGACCTCCAATTTCACTTAGAGAACATTCCTAGATGACTGAAGTCACCCAGAATCACTAAGAAAGTGACACCGTTCTTTCAGGGAAAAGATTTTGATCAAAGATTCCCTCTCTTTCTATTCCATATCTGAAAGGAACCGTGGAAGTAACTTTCAAAATCATTCATAAAGACAGTGGCAAAGGAGGGATGCAGAGTAAGACCAGCTTCAAGTCACTGCTGTGTCTGTCTGGAGATAGAAGAGATCATGGGCAGTTGGGTCCTCGGCAGAGAACAGTAACCTTGGGTTTCCAAATGCGAATCCACACAGGGATGCTTCTAGTTCAGTGCTGGGTATTTCCTCTGGCCGATCCTCCCTGGCCTTGAGCTCCCAGAGGTGGCGGAGGGCTGCAATGAAAGAAACAGCACTGACCTCTGCATGTCCCTATGGGTGGCAGTGCCCAGTGACAGTGCATCAGGGGCTGGTCTACATACTGACCACGCAGGCCATGAACACCAGCAGATGGATGCTGGGCTTTTGTTTCTAAAAGCCTATAGGTGGCTGGGCATGGCAGCTCACGTGTGTAACCCCAGAACTTTGGGAGGCTGAGGCAGGAGAATTGCTTGAGCCCAGAAGTTTGAGATCAGCCTGAACAACATAGCGAGACCCAGTCTTTACCAAAAAAAAAAAATCCAAAAATTAGCCGGCATGGGAGTATGTGCCTGTACTCCCAGCTACTCTGGAGGCGGAGACAGGAAGATCACCTGAGCCCAGGAGGTCAGGACTAGCCTGAACAACATAGCAAGACTTCGTTTCTGCAAAAAAGTATCCAAAAGTTAGCCCAGCATGGTGGTATGTGCCTGTAATCCCAGCTACTTGAGAGGCTGAGGCAGAAGGATCGCCTGAGTCCGGGAGGACAAGACCAGCCTGAACAACTTAGCAAGACCTTATTTCTATAAAAAGTAAAAAAAGCCAGCTGGGCACAGAGGTCTGTGCCTGTAGTCGCAGCTACTTGGGCGGCTGAGGCAGAAGGATCACCTGAACCCAGGAGTTTGAGACTGTGGTAAGCCATGATCATGCCACTGCATACCAGCCTGAACGACAAAATGAGACCCTGGCCCTACATAAATAAATATAGAAAAAAAAAGTCTCCAGGAACTGACAAGTCAGCATCAAGCCCTCGGGCTCCCTGGAAGTACTGAGCCTGCAGCAATCAGCGCTCGCTATCCATCAGCAGGGGAGGCTGCCATCTTGTCAGGGCATGAGATCCGGAGCCCCTCTGCAGCAGGCCGGCTGCATGTCCATGAGTCCTGAGAAGGGCGGTGGCCTGGCCTGCTGCTGCTGCTGGGGACATGGGGGCAGCAGATGCAGTCGCCGACCAGCACAGGCATGCACTCTTCTCCCTCTCTGAGCTTCATGGGGGTCAACGCCAGGGAAAGTTTATAAAGGCGAAACAAGATAAAGGGAAGAGGAGAGAAAAAACAGCCAGATCTGGAAGCCAAGAATGGGTGGAGGGTCAGGTGGGAGCCTGAGATGCACAGTCCCGAGGGGAGCAGCCTCGACTGCAGAAGGACAGGGTGGCAGCACCACCCTGGCCCAGGAAAATGCAATCGGAGTGGGGCAGGCCTGCCAGGTGCTGAGGGCAGCTGGTATGGCAGGGGCTGAGTGCCAAGCAGCACCACTCAGCTCCCTCAATCTGCAGTCTCCAGTCCATGGGCAAGAGAATGGAGAGGAGGAGAGGCAAAGCTGAGGGGAAGAAATCACAGAAAACATTCTAGAACATTCCCTGATGGACATACATGAGCCCAGACCCAAGGGGGGCACACTGAGGAAGGCAGACCTACACCGAGGCATGGGTAGCACAACATTGTGGCCCCGGGGACGGAGAAGCTGCACAGGTTTCCAGCGAGACACACGAGAGGCCCTGAAAGGTCTGTGGCAGAACTTCCTGGGACCACAGAACCGCAGACACCAAATACAGAAAGGCACTTGCAGTTCTGAGAGTGACTCTGCCCAGGGACTCTACCCAGCCAGACAACCAACCAAGTACACCAAAGAGGCATTTTCAGACATGAGGGTCATTACAAATCCTTTCTGTGACCTTGCAAAGAAGCTACTGGGAAACAAAAAAATAAAAATATAAAAAACAAAAAAGCAGCAACTGGAGGATGAGTATCACCAAGACAATGGAGCAACCAAGAAAAGCAACAGTGAAGGGTCCCAGAGCCAGGAGGTCTAACCTGGAGCAACTGGGTCCCCAGAGCCAAGGGGTTCCACTTGGAGATCCGGGTCCCCAGGGCAAGGGGGGGTGCTGAGGTAGCCCTCCAGCCCTGATGCTGTTAGGACATGAGCACTGCCTGGAACTGGGGACACACAAGCAGAAGGCCACACACACTTAAAAGGTACGGCCGGGCTTGGTGGCTCAGCCTGCCATCCCAGCACTTCAGAGGCTGAGGCAAGCGGATTGCCTGAGCCCACGGGTTTGTGACTAGCCCGGGTGTAACTTAACGAGACCTCGTCTCTATAATAAATTAAAAAATTAGCCAGGCATGTTAGTGCATGCCTGCAGTTCTGGCTACTTGGAAGGCTGAGGAGGAAGGATCACCTGAGCCCAGCGGGTTGACGCTGGGGTGGCCGTGAGCATGCCACTGCACTCCAGCCTGGGCAACAGAGTGAGACTCCAACTTAGAAAAAAAAAGTTACACACCAGGAAGAACCAAAAAGCGTCCAGAATCACAGTGAACTTAGTGTTCACAGACGATCCCTGGAGTGGCCAAAGCCTCACCCCCTGGAAGGAGCCCCCAAGGAATGCCTCGGAATGTCAAGGGGCAGTACACGAGGGGTGCTGCCATCACCACAGTCAGCCGGAAGGCAGTGACGGCCTCCAGGAGAGAGCAAGGGCAGGACAGGAGGGGCAGGGAACAGCAGCTGCTTCTTGCAGCATGCCTGTGGGCTGTCACCCATGAGTGACAAATGTGATTAGAAGAGAATCCAGGGAGGAAGCAGTCAGTCACTGGGCAGCCGGGGCAGGAGGCCACAAAGGGGAAGGCAAAGGCCACTCACTCACCTGTGCCAGCTGGGCTGGGTTGTAGAAGGGCACAGTCCCTCCGGGAGGGCCCCCTGCTGCAGAGAGGTCGCCAGGAGCCTGGGAGCCATAGAGAGGTCATATCATTGGGGCAGTGCTACCCACAGCTGGGGTTCAAGTGCAGATGCAGACACTACTTCTAAGTGAGGGCTTATGAGACCTTTAGATAAGCTACAGAAGCATGTCGGAGGTGCCGCCTGCAACACTGGATCTAGTTATCTAAAGTTCATAGAAAGTGGTAGAAAGCACAGCAACATGCAGAGGAAGATGCTCCACACCAGAACATGCAGATAAGCCGTGCGTGGCGCTGCAGCGGCACCCTGAATCTAAGTAGTTAGTGGGCTGCTCTCATCACTTCCAACCCAAGCGTCCAGCAGTAAGATCCGGTTCCATATGTGGGTGCGAGGGTCACATCAAGGCCTTCTGCTGAGCCAGCAATATAGCGAGTTCCATGACACACACAGAAGATGTATTTCTTCCCCTCCCACTTAGGCTGGCCCCAGGACGCAAGCATTGGCGCTCATGCTGGCCTCAGACCTTCGCATGCTTGGACAGAAAGAATTCCAGAGGAGCACATCCTGACCCAGGTGACACCCCCAGGGAGGCTACGCCCAGGTCCAGCACTGGAAAACCAATTCAGGAAGAGCGAAAACCATTCATTTACTATGACCATTTTGGGGTCAGTTCAAGCCTCAATGTATCTGAGGCTAACAGCACACCCCTTACAGGCCATTGAAAAGAAGGGAACACTGCATCCCGTGGTGTGACGCTCGAGGAAATGCTGGGTGATGTTAGTGACAGTGCACACGTGAGCTGGCACCAGCTCTCGAGGGAAAGGCGAGGCAACACAGTTGACTCCCACATTAAGTGGGAGCCGCCAGCCAGGTACCTGATTCAAGTGCTGGTTCACTTCACGCGATAATGAACTCATTGAACTACAGCGCGAAAGCTACAAAACAGCAAGACACACACAGAATACAGACAAGAGTCAACATGCAGGTCACTGCTCCAAGCTGTCAGGTCAATTTCAAAGCTTTTGGATGCCATTAGGATCAATATCACTCCAAAGGGAAGAAAGCCAGAGTTAGCTTCAAGTTCCTATCTTCATGTAAAGTTCTTGAGGGGGGAGTGGGGGAGAGCCTCGTCTACAACAGCATCCCTTGTCGAGCTCCCTCAGTGCTACTGTGGGGGAACAACTGGTGACAGTCACTGCAAGCCCCTCACGCCCTCCTTGGAGCCCTTGAAGAGTTCTGCTATGACAAATAAAGGGTGTTTTCCAGGAATACAACACTTTTGAAGTGTTTTTGTTTCCGAACTGCCTCTTCTGTCCACTGTCACACATCTTTAAAGGAAGAGGCATCTGGATAATACAAGCAAGCTGCCAGGCCCACGCTGTGAGAGGCGGTTGGCACCCCTCCTTACCTCTCCACCCTGGGAACCATCCAGCTTGGCAGGTGGGAGTTCAGAGCCAAGAGCTGACACTGCAGAGTTTAAAACCTGCTGAGAAAAAGAAGACTTGCAGCAGCCTGCAAATCCCAGGGAACCTGAACGTCTTTCACACCAGGCAGGGAACACTGAGCTGTGCCTCCTGCCCGGGTAACACAACCCTCTTCCATGTCAAGTGCTCCCTGGTGAGAAATCAACAAGTCACCCACATGGGATCCCACTGCACTGTCCTATGGACTCCAGGTCCTGACAGTTCCTTACTTAGTACCTACTGTGTGTCCACACAGGTCTCAGGGCCCCAAGACAGACTTCCAATTTGGTACTATTGTTAGTCTGATTTTACAGAGGAGAAAACTGAGGCTTAGAGAAGGCCAGTGGCTGCCCAGTGCTTTAAGAGCTAGTGATGGGGCCAGAGAACCAAGATTTGACCCAGGCCTGTCCAACCTCAGAGACTATGGTCTGAGCTGTTCTCCTTCACATGAGAGTTGTTTGTGTTTTTTTAGGTAAAGATATGCTCTATTTAACTTTTATTACTGCTATGTAATTTAAAAAAAAAAACTTAGAATAACTTATTCTTTCCCATTTCTTATCATGGTAAAATGCACATAACATTTTCCATTTTAACTGTTTCTAGGTGCCTGAGTCCAGTGGCCTTAAGCACACCCACAACGTTGTGCAGCCATCACCACTTTCCATCTCTAGAACCTTCCTTTTTCCTAAACTGACACTGTCCCCATGGAACACTCACTCCCGTCCTCTACCCAGCCCTGGCCCTGCCCACCTTTCTCTTTCTTGTCTCTAGCACATGTCCGTGCTGAGCGTTTAATATGGCATATCCTCTGCACACTGGACACTGGTGGGTCCAGCAGGGTCAAAAAGCACATTCTCCCAGGGGACGTCCTTACTACCCAGTGGTACCTACTTACCTGGGAATCTGGGGTGGGCTCTGTGTCTGCCTGGCCCCCAGCTGGTATGTGCCCTTCCCTGCCAGCCCCATCTGCAAGCTGTGCTTCTTCGACATCTATGAATAAGCATGTAGGAGACCATCAGCCGTGCAAAACCTCAGAGGTTTCATACAGAACACTCAGGAGTGGGGCATGCTGATGGAGAGGCCAAGAAATCGATGGCCAAGCACAGACACACCTTGGTTTCTTGGCACACTGGCCAGGTCATTATTTTCAAGGAAGCTTTAGGTCAGAGATCATAGAAAAGAGTCAAAGGTCAGGAAGCCAGAGGATGGACAAAGATGCTGGTTCTTTTCTGCCTATCTTGGTTGGTGCCCACCCGGGGTTGGTGCCCACCAGGGGATGGTGCCCTACATTGGGGCCCACCTGGAGTTGGTGCCTACCTGGGGTCGGTACAAACAAGTTGGCAGGAATCGGAAGTGGAGCGAGTGGAGCAAAAAAGTCGGCCGGGGCGAGAGCTGGCTCCCTCCGAGGGGTCCCACCTGGGTTCAGAACGTCCACATAGCGAGCTCTGGTTCCGGCTACAAAGGGGAAGGGGAGCAGATTCAGGTCAACATCCCACATGGCCTCCAGCTTCCAAACAGCTGGTTTCAGTGTTGGAAGGGAAGCAGCAGGGATGCCCTGGAGGCTGCCGTGTAGCCCGGCTGGGGAAAAGGCACCTCTTTATAGAGATGTGAATTGGCTTGGGCCCTGGGCAAGGCTTCCCACCTCACCACAGAGTCACAAGTGCCTGCCCACAGCTCAGTAGTGCACATGTATTGCTGAGGGGTATTCAAGACTCTGGAGAGCTGGCCTCTTCCCCAAGAATTTATCTTCACAAAACATGACCTTCCGACATGTGACGAACTACAATCTCCCATACACATTCAACTGCTGACCTGGCACACTGCTCAACAATACTCGACCCATACAAGCCCTGGCTCTGGCCTCTCACCTGCTCTTCGGGAGAACACATTCACGGTGGCTCCAGGTGGCCCCGTGGGGCCAGGCGGGGCAGCTGGCATGGACTTGGGAAATGAGGTTGGGGGTGGCGGCGGGGCCTTCTTCTGCAGAAGAAAAAGCAGCTTCAGAAATCACTCTGCACCCACAACCTACTGGAATTTCCCACAGGGAGGACCCCCCAAAAGAGCACCAGACACCCAACCATGACAGGTCCAAAACCCTTACAGCCTGATACCCAGTAATGAGTTACCTCCTCTTCCGGCTCATTTAAATTCACCCACTGGTTTTTCTTTTCATCCCAAACAATCTGTCAAGATTTTAAAAAGAAAAATCAGAAGTGTGAAGCTAAAGGTTAATTATGATGCTTCAAAACTTCAGAAAACAACTGCTCTGTCTGGAAAGTGATCGGAAGTTGCCACAATTCCTTGAGATTCCCTTGCACCATATCTGACAACACTCACCGACTTGTTCTTGTCATCTGGCAAATAAGCTTCTGTTCTCCTCTTCCCAGGCAGCCAACGAGAGAACCAGGATTCACTCTAAATATAAAAGCATCAGAACAAACTTGCAAACATCATGTTCAGTGAAATCAGTCAGAGGCAAAAAGACACACCCGATATGAGTCACTCACAGGAGGGGCCCACAGTCCTCAGAGCCACAGAGTCAGGAAGTGAAACAGGGCCAGGGACTGCGGAAAGGATGGGAGTGTGTTTCATAGGACAGAGTGTGGTTTGGGAAGATGGAAAGTTCTGGAGATGGGTGGAGGTGATGGCTGCACAACACTGAGTGTGTTTAGTGACAAGAAACTACACTTAAAAATGCTTAAAATGGGCCAGAGGCTCAAGCCTGTAATCCCAGCACTCTGGGAGGCCGAGGCGAGAGGACTGCCTGAGCTCAGGGGTTTGAGACCAGCCTGGGCAACTTGGTGAGATCTCGTCTCTACAATAAATAAAAAAATAATAATAATGAGCTGGGCATGGTAGTACGTGCCTGTTGAAAGGCTGAGGCAGAAGGATTGTGCCCTCCAGCCTGGGCAACAGAGTGAAACTCCAACTCAAAAAAAAGAAATCATAAATTTTAGGCTGGGTGTGGTGGCTCACGCCTGTAATCCTAACACTTTGAGAGGATGAGGCAGGAGAAGAGCTTGAGCCCAAGAGTCCAAGACCGGCTTAGGCAAAATAGTGAGACCATGTCGCTACAAAAAATAAAAAAATTCCTCGGGCATGGTGGTACATGCCTGTAGTCCCAGCTACTTGGGAGGCTGAGGCAGGAGGATAGCCTGAGCCCAGGAAGTCGAGGCTGCAGTGAGCCATGATAATGCCACTACACTCCAGCCTGGGTGACAGAGTGGAAACCCCGACTCAAAACAAAAACAAAAGACAGTAAATGTTATGCATGTCACCTTAATCACAACAAATCAGACCCAACAATATGCCTCTGTGGGCTTCTTGTGTCTGAACTCTGGCAATGAAGCCTCTACACCCACTCTGGGGAGAAGGGCTGAGCCAGTTAGCATGGGGCTCTTAAGCCAAGTACCCTGTGTCTCTTACACAGGACAGCATGGTTATTAGGAAATGTCATTTTATGTTTCACATGCCGTACTTCATTTCTACTTAAAAAAAAAAAAAAAAAGGCCACAGCAGTTACATACACACCCTCAGTTCTTCTCTATGAACTCTACTGAGGAGGCAGCCTGAACCTGGGAGGTGTGCAGTAGTCTTAGCTTACAACCTGTTTGAAGTGTCATGTTTTATCTCACAATTCACACACATTTTGAACAATTTCTTTTTTTTGTGGAGACAGAGTTTTGCCCTGTTGCCTAGGTTGGAGTACAGTGGCACAACAATAGCTTACTGCAGCCTCCAACTTCTGGGCTTAAGCAGTCCTCTGGCCTCAGCCTCCAGATCATGAATTAAATGTGTTTATTTTCAAGGCAGTAGCCATAAAAGAAAAATCACTTCTATTAAAAGGAAGAACTATGTTCTTCATAAGATACATTGAGTAAAAAAGTAACCTACAGACTGCGGGAAGATATTCACAATATACGTGTCTAACAATGGACTCACATTTACAACACAGAAAGGATTCCTGCAAGTCACTAAGACGGCCCAAACAAAAATGGACAGGGAAGCCAGGTGCGGTGGCCACACCTGCAGTACCAGCTATTAGGGAGGCCAAGGCAGGAGAACTGCTTGAGTGCAGGAGTTCAAGAACAGCCCAGGCAACACAGCAAGACCCCATCTCTTTTTTTTTTTTTTTCCATCAAAGTCTCACTCTGTCACTTTGGCTGGAGTGCAGTGGCATGCTCATGGCCACAACAGCCTCGACCTGATGGGCTCAGGCAATCATTTCACCTCAGCCTCCCAAGTAGCTGGAACCACAGGCACATACCACCACGCCCAGCTAACTTTTCTTGATTTATTGTTGAGATAAGGTCTCGCCATGTTGCCCAAGCTGGTCTCAAACCCATGGGCTCAGGTAATCCTCTCACCTTGGCCTCCCCAAAGTGCTAGGATTATAGGTGTGAGCCACTGTGAATGGCTAAACCCATCTCTTAAAAAAAAAAAAGAGACTTAAACAAGCACTTCACAAAAGAGCAGAGAGATGATAAGCACATGACAAGGCACTCAGCATCATCAATCATCAGGGAGATGTAAGGTAAGACAATAAAACATCGCCAACCCCAGCTGAGCTCAAGGGACTGGTGGGGCCAGGTGCTGGTGAAGATGCGGAGCCCTGGACTCCATACTCTAGGGTGGGATGTGTCCCTTGGCACAAGCACCCAGGAAAACTGCTCAGCAGTGTCCCCTGAAGTGAACATGCCCTTTTTCTGTGACCTAAAGGCTCCACTCCCTGGCACATGCCCAAGAGAAAGGAGACAAAAGACAGACAAAAACGCTCATGTGACTTCACGGGAACAGCCCAAGCTGACAACTGCCCAACGTCCACAACCAGGAGAAGGGATCAGTACAACTGCGGCACATGACGGTAAGAACAAACAGCTACTGTCTGACCCCTCTGGCCACCCTAGGGGATAGGTTTGACAGGTAACAGCCAGGAGAGGACCTCTGGGGCCTGGACCATCTGCACACTAAATGGGGGGTGGTTCCATGTGGGCGCACACACACCAATGTTCATCCGCTGTGCATGTGACACTCAAGTGTGTATACAAGGATGGAGTGCTTAGTGTAGTTAAAGAGGAATGAAGGCCTCCGCTTTGCCCCTCACTCATGGGACACGGCTGCCGGGGTGGGTGGCGCTTTACCTTCTTAGGCGCTTTGGTCTCTTTTTTGTTGGCCTGTCCAGGTCTCTTCGTTTCAGGAGGTGTCAGAGACAGAGGCGGCTGGGTGGGACCTGAGTCAGCATGATCCCATCCTGAGGGGGTCTCCGAATCTGGTGCGGTCCTCGAGGGGCCCTGTCCCGAGGCAACAAGTGAGTAGGGTATCCTGGGGCTCCTTGTCCAGAAACTGAAGGGAAGTGGGGAGGGGAGCCCTCCACAAGTGTTCCCCTAAATTGCCACTGAGAGGTCAAATGATGCCGATACACGGGGGAAGCAGGGAGGGACTGAGGAAGCAGTCACACCAGGGGTGTCCTGAGCCTCCCCCCTGGAAAGCAGCCCCTTCCCATGGGCATCCTGAGCCTCCCCCAGGCCTGACAAGAGAAGAGCCACTACACTTGAGAAGCAACCCTGTCCAGCAGTGTCACAGTGCTCAGATACAGATTCTGTCACTCTCCAGGAATTACTGGCTGAAGAAACAGCATGTGCACGTGCACTGAGGGGGTCACTGTGAGACAGGGCAGTAGGCATCGTAAAAGATAAAAGAACTTTTTAAAAGTTTACTCCTGGGTTAAGACATTGTTTTCAATACAGTAAGACCTTCATTTTTACTTTTCAGGGACACCACACATGCAAGTTCAAACTACAGCAACTGCCTACTGATGGGACGCCCATAAGGATGCTCATAAAGAGCTGGAGATCTGTAAAGAAGATTCCAGAATGTGGTTTGTGTAAAAGCACTTGTCCCTCCTGGTTGGGATCAAAGCGAACAAAGGAGGTACATGTACCAAATGTGTCTGCTAAACTGAATCTTAACCTCAGGAAAACCAGTGAAAACGTTAGAAATTCTACTGCAGGAAGAAAGATCCAGAAAGCAGGGAAGTTCTCCATTTTGGGAAAATTAACAAAGAGATTTCTTTTTTTTTTTTTGGAGTTGGAATCTCACTCTGTCACCCAGACTGGAGTGCAGTGGCTGCTCCCGGCCACTGCAGCCTCGACCTGCTGGGCTCTGGCAATCCTTCCACCTCAGCCTTCCAAGTAGCCGGAATTACAGGCATGCGCTACCACGCCTGGCTGAGTTTTTGATTTATTGTAGAGATGAGGTCTTGCTGCCCAGGCGGGTCTCGAACCCGCAGGCTCAGGCAATCCGCTCACCTCAGCCTCCCAAAGGTGCAGGATTACAGGCTGAGCCACCAAGCCCGGCTAACAGATTTCTTTATATTGGGGTATTTCTTCTACTTTGTTACACTATTGAATTCTCTCTTCCCAATCTTTCCTGACCAGTGTTTTTGTTTTTTGTTTTTTGAGTTGGAGTCTCACTCTGTCGCCCAGACTGGAGTGCAGTGGCCGCCCCCGGCCACCGCAGCCTCGACCTGCTGGGCTCCGGCGATCCTTCCGCCTCAGCCTTTCAAGTAGCCGGAATTACAGGCATGCGCTACCACGCCCGGCTGATTTTTTGATTTATTGTAGAGATGAGGTCTTGCTGCCCAGGCAGGTCTCGAACTCGCAGGCTCAGGCAATCCGCTCACCTCAGCCTCCCAAAGGCGCGGGATTACAGGCTGAGCCACTGAGCCCCGCCTGACCAGTGTTTTTACTGACTCTTCACATTCTAAGGATTAAAGCTATTTAGAAGCACTTTTTTTTTTTGAGTTGGAATCTCACTCTGCCACCCAGGCTGGAGTGCAGTGGCAGGCTCACAGTCACCACATCCTCGACCCGCTGGGCTCAGGTGATCCCTCCGCCTCAGCCTTCCAAGTAGTTGGAACTATAGGCATGTGCCACTATGTCCAGCTAATTTTTTGATTTATTGTAGAGACGAGGTCTCACCATGTTGCCCAGATTGGTCTTGAACCCATGGGCTCAGGCAATCCTCTCACCTCTGCCTCTCAAAGTACCGGAATTATAGGCGTGAGCCCCCGAGCCCAGCCAGAAGCACTTTTGCTTTAAGAAATAATTTTTAAAATAATTTCACAATTTTTCTACTTAAAATTGAACAAGGAATTTGGGTACCTAGTCAATGAACTTAACGGAAAACAAATCATGGGAAATGTGGGAAAGTACCAGATTAGCAAATTTTCCACCAAAATTGTCTTCGTTGAGTTCTGACAGTGTGTTTCCAACAGGCACCTCCTGTGGCAGCACCCCTGTCAGTGGGAGAGAGAGCAACATGACGTTAGGACTGCCAGACTCGAAGCACACAGAATAAGGACATTTGTGTGACAGACAGATCGAGACACACACCAGCTTCTTACTGGGCCACCACACCCGTGTTCTTTTCAGAAGCCAAGGCTGAAAATTGTCCCAGATATGTGGAAATTACTTATTTTTTAAAGCCAGACCTATGTTTTCCTTGGTCCAAACAAAGACAGACACAGACCAGGACAAGATCCACCAAACTGCCAACCCCCACTTGGGTACTGCAGGAGGATTGCAGAGGGACTGTCTTAAGACAAGACCCTGGAAGAGCCAAGGCATGTGCCTGAATGGCCCTTTTTCTTGTCAGCTTGCCCAAGCTGGTCTTGAACCCCCAGACTCAGGCAATCCTCTCACCTCCATCTCCCAAAGTGTTGGAATTACAGGCATGAGCTACTACACTCAACTGCCATTTAAGCTTCACAGCAGAACACAAAGTCAAGTCACAAAAGAAACTGGTATTAATATTCCCACTGCAGGGAGACGCTTAACCTATCTGTGGTCTCTAACTTCCAGAACCTTACACCAGCACAAGCAAGGTAACTTGTTTCATGCTCAAATGAGGAAGAAGAGCAGAAAGAGAAGGAAAGAGAACTCTGAGATCTGCAAAACTACCATGGTAGTACAAGACACCGCCCCAACTCTCCCAGCAGCAAATCCAAATCATTTTGTGCTCATAAGCAGCCTGCAGAAGGGGCATGGGCTACCACTCAGTCTCTCCCACAATCTCCCCGCTCTCAGGAGAGCATCTTGGAAGGCCTACCTGGGTCCGGGCCCCTGGCCTCCTGAGGCAGGTATCTCCTTTCCGGAAGAGGTGGTCCACCAGGTGGCAGGCTGGGCCCTGGGCACAGGGCTGCAGGGTCAGGCCCGGAGGGCTCCGGGAAGCCAAGCACAGATGCTGTGGGTCCACAGCCGGGCCCCAGCTCAAGGGGCCCAGGGCGCGGTGGCACTGGGAACATGGGCACCCTGGCGGGGCTGGCCAACTGGCTGTTGGGGAGCGGCTGTGGGGCTGCAGGGGAGAGGAGGATGTTTCAGGCTCCTGGGACTCAAGTCACTGGAGGGAGCTGCACCCTAAACACGGCAACCAGTGACTTACACAGCAACATGGCCTTGTCAAGACTAGGAGATCCAACAACCAGAGAAAGTGCTGAACATACCACCCCATCAGCAGTTTTGCTTTCTCGGGCCAGGGCAGGATGAATGCCTGTGCACCAAGCATCGGGGGACCAGGCTCCAATCCACAGCCCTGCCCAGTGCACACCATGGGGCTCCTGGCACAGAGCTCTGCTGGTGGCCAAACAGGCCACTCACTCATTCATTCACTCATCCAACTCAACACAAAACCAGGAAGGGCTGCTGCCTGTCAGCACCACGCCAGGCCTTGGGTGCGTCATGAGAAAAACAGACCAGGAGTCCTCATGGGGTGAGGGTGGATGCACCAAGGAAGAAGGTGAAGGAGAGCTAAGGAGAACAGTCGACCAGTGGTGGTGACAGCATCTGTGGAGGTAGGGGTGGCATCAGGCTGGGAGAATGGCAGGAGGGCAGTGGGAACCTGGGGTGGGGAGCAGTGCACAGGCAGGAGAGCTGGGGGCTGACCCCGCCGGGCCCGTGGCCATTCTGAGGAGCCTTTCTCCGTGGTTGAGATCGGGAGTCAAGAAGGCCCAGGGCAAAAGCAGGAGGTGACAGGCAGAGAACAGCTCATCTAGATACAAGGTCAGGGCACCACGGGAGTCTGGCTCTGTGTACCAGCTGCGCCGGTGAGACCGACTGGCAAACCAGAGGCACGTGTGAGGGGAGGCGGTGTGGACCCACTCTTTGGAAGAACTGGGGTTGTCCTTCCTGAGACGGGCAGACCAGGAGAAGCAGGTTGCGGGGGCATGTTGAGAGCCCACCCAAACACTGCACACGAGGGGCTACCAGAGAAGCGAGCCGAGAGGCCGAGCAGGCAACACCCAGGGCACAGTGTTGTTCTCACATCGATGCTTAAACCATGAGATTTGGGTTCACCCAGGGAGGCACAGAAAGAGAAGGAAAGAGAACTCTGATGTCCCCCAAACTACCACGGAGGCACAAGATACCACCTCAACCTGGCAGCAAACCCACATCATTTTGTGCTCAAAAGCAGTTCTCCACGAGGAAGGGGCATGGACCACCCCTCAGCCAGTGGGGAGCGCAGCTTACCTGAGGGCATCAGCCGCATGCCCTGGCTCAGGTGCTCACTGCTCAGTGTGGGCACTGCCAGCAGTGGGTTGTCAGTCCCCAGGGCTGCTGGCTGGTTGAGTCCTGGCCCGTCCAATGGCTCCACCTCGGAGCTTGGTGTGCTGGGACATTGTGGGGGGAAGGCTCTCTCCTGACTCCACACCAATGTCCCCTCCTGCAGGGGAACAGAGCCCAGGCTGTGGTGCACATCCTGGCAGCCTCCCTCCAGTGAGTCTACCCACACCAGCTCCATTTCAGGAGAGTAAGAAGCCCCCGAGGCCCTTTCTGAGGAGTGAAGAAATTCTAAAAATAGACATTTGTCTACAATGACATGGTTTAGATCACATACGTTCAAGTGAAAACAGGGACACAAACTACTTTGTCAACTATCTCTGTGCCAATTCCACATCAAGGGGACTGTACCTTGATCTGCTTCTCCACATGCTTCAGGTGAACCAGCCACGCAGGCTCGATGAAGGATTCCTCTTCTGGCTTCTCCTTTAGTTGAGGGTCGAAGAGTCGTAACTGGGAAGCCATCTTTACATACAAAAAATCAAGCCCGTTACTACCAGGTGACAACAGCAAAGTGGGTGTCAAAACATCTCCTACACTGGAACAAATACAGCCTCAATGCTAAACTGGAAATGAAGTTTTTGTCAGCTACATGAGTGTTTCTAAGGTGTGCTGACAAGAGATTCCAAGCACAGATGACGCTGTATGACCATGAAATCCTGTAGACAACCTCTTAGCCCACCAGCAGCTCCTGGCCTTACCTGGGACAGCCTTGCCTGCAACTATATCTGATTATGGAGACTTGCTTTGACTTGCCGAATGGTGAACTACCTGGTGATGTGCATATTCTGACTGGGAGTTGAAGGTGTGGTGGAGGCCAGAGGGAGGCAAGTGGGTGGGTAGAGACAAAATTAGTCTAGCCTGTGTTAGTAACTGCTGACGCCAGAGATGAGGACATAAGGATTTCTTAGTAATTCTCTGTACTTTAAAAATTACCCTTAATACATTTTGTAGGCATCACATGATCATTTTAAAAAATGGAGCCACCAGGGTAAGGAGAAATAGCCCAGTATGGCCTGTTTCAGGGGTCACCAGGTGCCAGGCACGAACTGAGTGCTCCCCTGCCAGGTGTTCAAGTTCATCCCTACCCCAGGTGCCAAGAGCTAGCCAACTGCCCCCCCCAGGTGCCAGGCACTGACCGAGTGCTCCCCATGCCCCGTGTACTCCTCATATGGCTCCACCTCCATCTTACAGGTAAAAAATCTGAGGCTTACGGTAGGGCAGCTAGGGTGCAACTCCAGACAGTTAAGTTCTGGAAGCTTCAACTCTTAACCAACAGACTAAACCACCTCAAAATAAGAACTTCCTGGAGATGGGTCCTTCAGACTTTGGAGCTCACCACAAAGGTGCTGCTCTGGAACAAGAGGCCTGAGACTACCCATGTGAAGATGCAAAGCATAGGCTCCCACCCGAGCATATCTGAAGACCCTGACCCACTCAAGTGGGTCTGGGGGCCCACTGCGAGGAGCACCCAAGTCACTGTGAGGCCACTTCAGCTCAGAGGCCCTGACAGGCCTGACTCTCCTGAGGCAGCACGTGCCATGAGGAAGGTCCTTGAGAGCCCACCTGGACCAGCTGACTGACAAGCACCGGGGAGTGCTTCTGGGGCTGCGCCAGGATGCTCCTCGCAATCACCTCACAGTAGTGGAAGGCCTGCGTGGCAAGCCCCATCTCAGCCAGGCGGCAGGAATAGATGAACTTGAACACCTGAAACAGAAGACACAGCCTCACTAGCTTGCAGCTCCCCGCCTCCCCAACATCTCCCTATAGACTGTGAACTTTCTGGAGGGTTGTGTGGCATCTGCCCCACACCCGCCAACCACAGGACTAGCCTCATTCCAAGACACTCTAAGATCAAAGTAACAACAGAGCTTCCCAGAAACTCACTCCACTTTCCCTCTACACCTTGAATACATTCACGTGGTATTCAAGAATGGTGAGTCAAGAATAGACAGACCCTGAGATGCCCTCCCAGACCCCCGTCCCATAAGCTACCAACTGTCCCACGGATGTTCTCTGCTGACACTCCATTATTGGCAAGTCTTATCCACACTCCCCCAAATACTAAAAATAGCTGATGTGAAAGTACTTGAAATCAAGTACTTAAGGTTTCAGTGTTTAAAATATTAAGAATCAAAATGCAAATAGAAATCCTCAATTCATATAGTTTAGCTCCTAAACATTAGAGACCAAATGTCTCCCAAGACTGCCCAAAAACCTGAGTCATTTTTTTACAGGAGAATTCAAACCAAGACAGCCAAAAGTCAGCCAGCACTGACCACCACACCCCCAGGCGGCAGGCAGGCCTCAGTCCACTCACCTGGAAACTGGGCAGGGAGCAGGTCTGGGCGCCCAGCGACTGGGCATACTCGTACGCTTCCGTCCTCTGAATGGCTTCGTTGGTTGCAAACTTGAAAAATGGCAAGCTGTTCAGAAAATGAAGTATTTTGGCTTGAAAACAATGGCCCACTACTGGCATAATCAACCTTAGAGCAAGCCACTCAGAAGTATCTCCCGCTACATGAAAAGATGAGAGGCAGGCCACTTTGCAATCAACTAAGGAAGAGGAAACTGCTTCATTTGTCAAGGAAAACAGCACTGCAGTTACTTGATCCTGACCTGTGATTTGATCCAATTAAGACAAGCTTTGTAGTTTTCTTTGTGTAAACTCCAAATCCAACCTGGGCCATAAGGTAGCAGAAGTGTGCTGCATCTAAGAGACCTTTTGAAGCTGGAAAGACACAATACAGGCCACGTCTCAGTTCCTAGGAGTCACATGGAAGTCGAAGGAAGCTAACAGACACTGCCACAAGACACATCAGATGGCAGTCTCGTGCCTCCCATGAGTCCTGGCAACCCATACGACTGAGCCTTTCTCACCCCATCTGACAGCCTGCCCCCACCCCCAGACCCACCCAGAGTGTCGCCCATTGTGGCCATTGTCCTAGCCTCCACATCCACATTGTTGCTCAAGTTGGAGAGGACCATGGCGAGGTGTGGCCTCCAATCTCCCCACTTCTCATCTCCACAACACTGGAATTAGAAAACAGAGAACAAACTCTCAGCCTTGGAAGACGGAGTCACTTCAATTCCATAATGGTTGAGCTCAAGAGCACAAGGAGAAAGAGTCAGACACACAGGTCCTGTGTCCTGTGACAAATCTGATCAAAGAGCAAACCCCCAATAGACAGAAGAGCTCACACAAACCATTGTGAGGCAGCACTCACTGTGGATGCGGCAGGCATCCGCCCGGACATAAGCTGGTAGACTGTCTGCAGGGGATCATTGATTGGAAGACTGTTGGCAAACCTAGGTAGATAAAAACAGAAAAACCCCACTCTGGTTTAGTTATAAAAACAAAGGAAATCTGATCTCTGCCCTTTTATTTAATGATCAGATTTATACTAATCTTAGGCAAGTGCACAGATCTCTAATTTTTTTTTGAGTTGGAGTCTCACTCTGTCACCCAGGCTGGAGTGCAGTGGTACACTCATGGCTACCCCAGCGTCAACCTGCTGGGTGCTAGCGATCGTTCCACCTCAGCCTTCCAAGTAGCTGGAACTACAGATGCGCATTACCATGCCTGGCTAATTTTGGATTTATTTTAGAGATGAGGTCTCGCCAAGTTGCTCGACTGGTCTCAAACCCGCGGGCTCAAGCAATCCACTCTCCTCAGCCTCCCAAAGTGCTGGGAAGACAGACTGAGCCACCGAGCCTGGCCTCAATTTTTTTTTAAAAAGTGTAAAAGATGAAGACTAAGAAATTCACTGAAGTCTTACAGAAGGTATTAAAAGTCACGCAGCTGATAACAAAATGCTCAAATCCTCAGCAACAGGACCCAAGGAGGAGAGCCAAGTTGGCCTGAGTCAGTGCTTAAGAGTAGCACGGAGCAGGGCTCGGTGGCTCAGCCTATAATCCCACGCTTTGGGAGGCTGAGGTGAGTGGA